GTTAAGTGAATCACTGCAATTGCTAAGTTAGTGATATGGTTATTAAGTGAAACAGGTTTTTCCGTTGACTTTGCTCATCAGAAGTTGCCAAAAGGGGGTCATGTGACTCTGGGACACAGCAAGGGTCGTAAGTATGAACTAGTTGCCAAGCGCCTGAATTTTGATCTCCTGACAGCAAGGATGCTGCAATGGTGGTAAGTGTGAAAAACAGTCATGAGGTGAATTTTGCCCCATTTGCCGCCATTGTTAAGTGAGTCCGTGTGGTTGTTAAGTCAGGGAGATGGTTGTTAAGTGAACCTGGCTTTCCCATTGACTTTGCTTGTCTGAAAGTTGCAAAAGGGGATCACATGACTCTCATCATAAATAGGAATCAACTGCCAAGCATCCGAATTTTAATCGCACAACCATGGGAAAATGGCAATGGTCATAAGTATGAAACACGGCCGTACGCCACTTTTTTCAGGGGCATTGTAACTTGGAACAGTCACTAAAAATGAACTGCTGCAAATTGAGGACTGCCTGCATTGCATTTGTCCATTTTCAAAGGTTAGTACACAAAAATGTCCGCTACAACGTCCTGCCTATCAACGACTACTTCAGCTTCAACCACAATAACACATGGGCAAACAATAGATACAAACTCAGTGTAAATCTTTCCAAACCCGACTGCAGAAAATACGATTTCAGCAACAGAGGGGGTCAATGCCTGGAACTCACTACCCGACTCCCTTGTTCTGACCAAGGCTTCCTGAGACCATAATTAAGCATACACTTAGTCCAAACAACTCTTGTTTTATTTCAGCGCTAGGAATTATTTTCATTCCCAGACCGTAATGAGTCCCAAACAGTCCCTCGAGATAAGCACTCCTTTGAATTGCCAACAACTAAAGTGCCAAATGAACTGTAAAAAAACAAGCGAAGTACAAAGTCCACAGAGCTTCAAGGTTTAATCTGAACAGAGCAAACGACTTTGCTTCCTGCAAAGGTTTCTCTACCTTTGCACTCCTTCATACCTTAGGGGAGGGGCAATCACCTCCCAGCCTTACTCCCGAGTCGACCCTTTTGTCTCAGCTGCTCTCGCCTTCTGGCAGCTCTGTGCACATGCACACTGGGATCAGGCTCCCCTGGTTCCTCTGCCTCCTGCTGCCAGACTCTGGAGGCTCCAGTGTCAGCACCCCACTCCCAGATGGTCCTGGCCCCATCTCTGCATTGAATGCAGGATTCTTGTCCGAGTTCTCCCCAGACTCCCGGACTGGTCCCTGTTCCTCCCCACTGTCCAATTCCACTGCCATCTGCACAGGCTGCCGGCGAACCACAACAACTCTGTCGTTACATCCTCAAACCCCCAAAACTTTAACCTTAAACTGTCTACCGTGGACCTCACTCCATTCCTAAGAGGTCTGTAAGGGGGCGTGCATAAGCGCACCAGTGTGCCTACCGACCCTGTCCTACAGTTCCCATTGATTCGTACTCGTTTATTATGTATATACTTATACCCATTTATACTTGTATGTTTATATGTTATGTTCATACTTATACTTGTTTTTCTCATACATGCTTGACAAACTAAACTAAATAAATAAATATAAATAAATATTATTTCCATGCCATGGAGAAACTTCACCTGCTGGATCCTGCAGTCCATTTTTTTCCCCAAAGGTGCTTTTTCAAAGCACAACTGGACTTTGTTTTTACTTGAACACATTTCACTTCTCATCCAAGAAGCTTCTTTGGATCAAGGAAAAACCAAGAAAATCTAGTTGCCTTTTGAAAAAGCACCTATGGGACAACTGTGACCTGGATGACTGAGAATCTCCATAGACATTCAGTCCAAATTGCTAAGTGTTCTTTCTTTCTTTCTTTCTTTCTTTCTTTCTTTCTTTCTTTCTTTCTTTCTTTCTTTCTTTCTTTCTTTCTTTCTTTCTCTTTCTTTCTTTCTTTCTTTCTTTCTTTCTTTCTTTCTTTTTCTTTCTTTCTTTCTTTCTTTCTTTCTTTTTCTTCCTTCCTTCCTTCCTTCCTTCCTTCCTTCCTTCCTTCCTTCCTTTCTTTTTCTTTCTTTCTTTTTGCCTGATCTGATGGCACTCCACAAAATAAACCCTTCCAGCTCAAGGCTTTTTGCTTTAATTAGCTATTTTTTGCTGGCCTACTTTCCTGTTATTTAAAGGCATGGCACTCATCCATTCTGCCAGGTCCTAATCTCAGATGTCAGCTTCCCAATTTGCAACTGCAGGCCTATTGATCCAGCAAGTTGGAAAGGAATAGAAGGCAATCTAAATTAATTTCCCACAGAGAAAACAGGAACACTTTCCCCTTTTAAACTCTTCCAGTAGAAATCCTCCATGTGCAGTCTGGGTTAGAGCATTTTCCCAGGCTGGATGGCAAAAACCCAGCACAATTTTCAAAATGAGATTTGCAGAGATCCAAAGACGATACAGGAGAACTTGTAAATCAAACGTTGTAGGAAAAATCCCCCGTAAGAAACAGAGTGCATCTTGACTTCTTATCTCAATTATTTCCAGAGTAGCTCGATACCCGTGCCTCGCTATGAAACTATGTGGTCGGGCTTAATTTTTGAGGAGGAAAATAAGGAAAAACTACTTCTGCCTCTGCCTACCAGCATCCATCGGTATTCATCTGGCTAGTGTCCTGTCAGTGTGAGAGAGAGTTGAGGGCTGTTTGGAAAGTGAACCAGTATTTGATGTGGGAGCAAAGAACCTGGGTGTGGCTTAGCTCAACTGTTCTGTACTAAAGCTGATTGCTTCTGTGAAACTGAAACTCCTCTCCTCTGCTTGTGTTTTGCATTTGGAACAGATTTCTTTTCAGGTGGGGAGGGGAGTAGAATCTTTAGCAGCAAAGTGTGTTAATAATAATATAGGAAATACTAACGCTCTGATGGTCCTGTCGAAAAATCCTTTCTTAGTGAGCACCTAGAAGCCAAGAGGAACATACGTGCCACATTTCAAGTTTGTAGGCTTTACGGTTCTGGAGATTTTGTGATGATGCGTGAGTGGTCTTTCACTTTTATATATATAGATTTGACCTGGAACTCAAAACCTTAAAAATTACATCCTGGTAATACTCCTTGACTTACGACCACAACATTTCTGTTGCCAAGCAAGATCGTTTTGAAGTGAGTTTCGCCTTGTTTTACAACCTTTTCTTGCCACAGTTGTTGTGAGAATCACTGCCGTTGTAAAATTAACATGGCTGTTAGGGTGAACCTGGCTTCCACATTGTCAGATGGTCGCACAAGGTGATCACGTGACCCCCCAGGACACTGCAACTGTCATAAATATGAGTCACTTGCCAAGCATCCAAATTCTGATCACAGGAAGGCTGCAATGGTCGTAAGTGTAAAAAATGATTATAAATCACATTTTTTTCAGTCTTTGTAACTTCAAACGGTCAATAAAGGAGGGTCGTAAATCAAGAACTATCTGCAGTCCAGTCCCCCTTTGATCTCTTGCCACCCCATCTCTAGATGTTGGTGGCCACTTTGAGATGTTCTCATTTCTCTTGCTAGTCCCAAAGTTGTTTTTTCAGCAGACAACTTATTTTTTCTTTGAAGACTTTCGCTTCTCTTCCAAGACTGGATGATGGGGAATGGAAGGATTTATATCCCTTTGCCATTTGCATCCTTTTAGAAAGTCATTGAGGCCTTTTGGAGGTTTATCTGAGTCCTCAGGTTCACCTGAGTAGTGCTCCTGGTCCCTGAAGTCTGCAATTTATTTATTTTTGGGAAAATCCATTCCGACTCCCATGTGTTCATCCCAAATCGTATAGCTAAAAGTCCTGAGGACACAGATAAACCTCCAAGTGCTTCAACGACCCTCTCAAAGGATGCAAATCACCAGCTGTCTGCAAGGAATATAAATCCTTCCATTCATTTATTTATTTTATTTAGTTTAGTTTGTCAAGCATGTATGAGAAAAAAAGAATAAGTATGAACATAACCAGAGGTGGTATTCAGCAGGTTCTGACCAGTTCTGAAGAACTGGTAGTGGAAATTTTGAGTAGTTTGGAGAACCGGCAAATACCACCTCTGACTGGAGATTTTGCAATATCCTTCCCCTGCCGAACCGGTAGTAAAATTTTTTGAATAATATATAACATATAAGAATAAACGGGTATAAGTATATACATAATAAATGAGTACAAATCAATGGGAACTGTAGGACAGGGACGGTAGGCACACTGGTACACTTATGCAGGCCCCCTTACAGGCCTCTTAGGAATGGAGTGAGGTCCACGGTAGACAGTTTAAGGTTAAAGTTTTTTGGGGGGTGGTTTCCCCACTATTCTGTCAGACCTGAAGAAGCTTCTTGGATGAGAAGCGAAACGTCTTCAAAAGAAAAAAACAAACAAACAGAAAATCCAGTTGCCTCTTGGAAAAAGCACCTTTGGCACAACCATGACCTGGATGACTTGAGAATCTCCACAGAATTTCTCTTGTTTGGTTTTGCTTCTCTTCCAGAAAATGAAGCTCCCCAACCCATCCTGATTCCCATACCCCATTATTCCAACCCTGGCCCCCTTATTGCTGATTGCTTATTGTACACTATGATTCTTGACGGATGTATGAGAACAAACGCTCCAAAGACAAATTCCTTGTGTGTCCAGTCACACTTGGCCAATAAAGAATGCTACTCTACTCTACTCTACTCCACTCCACTCCACTCATATTTCATTTCTATTCTATTCTATTCTATTCTATTCTATTCTATTCTATTCTATTCTATTCTATTCTATTCTATTCTATTCTATTCTATTCTATTCTACTCTACTCCATTCCATTCCACTCCACTCCATTCCACTCCTATTTCATTCCTGTTCTATTCTATTCTATTCTATTCTATTCTATTCTATTCTATTCTATTCTATTCCAGTCCTATTTCATTCCTATTTTGTTCTATTCTAATTCTATTCTAGAATTCTATACTATTCTATTCCTATTTCTATTTCTCCTCCTCCTCCTCACCCACCCACCCCTCCCCACTTACGTGTCCGACTCGCCTTCTTCACCAGGGCAGCTCCGCGTCCCCCGTCCTCCTCCACCTCCGCCTCCGCCTCCTCTGCTCCTCCGTCTTCGGTTTGGAGGAGGGCAATGCTCAACCCGGCCACTAGGCGGGGGAAACTTAAAAAGCCCCCGCACGGCTCTGCCACTCGCTGGAGAGCTTGCAGGACCCCGGCTGGGATCTCTTGGTCCTCTTGGGGGGCCACCACCCCGCAGCCGCCCCGACCCCAGCGGCTCTCGATTTCCGAGATGTGGACGGTCCCCCGGCGTTGATCGTCCAGAATTTCGAAGAGGACCCGGAGACTCCGGAGGAAGGGGCGAGGCAGGCGGGGGCCCCTGGGAGGAGGAGGAGGGTCTTCTGCGATGGGGGGAAGAGAAGGGGTCGCCAGTCCCTCAGAATTCATCGGAACGGCGTGGGGGGGGGGCGGGCTTAGATTTGGGGGGGCGAGGGGCGAAGACAAAGTTGGAAGTTCTTGGGACGAGGCTGAAAAGCTCTTTTTTTTGTCTTTTTCTTTTTTGGGGACGGGAGGAAGGATGTGCAAATATTTCTCCTCGGGCAAAGAAGCGGAATCGGCGTTGGGAAGGACGCCGCCGAACTGGATGGTCGGGGCAGAAGAACCAAAGCTCTCCCGCTTCTCCCTCCCTCCCTCTCTCTTTTTTTTCCCCCCACCCGTCCGCCGCGGCAGTCAGACGGGAAGATCTCTGGTTTGACCCCAGTCGAAAAATCCTTGATGGGATTGGGTCACCTGACCCTCTCGGATAATCACCCTGGATGCCAGACGATTAGCAGCTCTGCTAATGGGGTGGAGTCCTCTCTCTCTCTGGGGAGGGGAAGGGAAGGGGGAGAGAGTGGATCGCCTTCTGTGCTTGGAAGTTGTTACCCGAAGGGTAAGATCAGTCGCCTCTTTTCTTCCCTTCCTCTTCTTCCCCCCTCCCCTTCTCTTACGACTTCCAGAATAATAGAGGTGGAAAGGGACTTTGGAGGTCTTCTAGTCCCAACCCCCTTGCTCGACCTCTTCTTAAAAGAGGAAGTATGGAGTCTGTCATCTGCACTTCTATAACCGCCTGGTTTGGTTTTGCCAACCCAACAGGGCAGACACAGACTTCAGAGAGTAATGAGGACTGAACGGACACCTAACATCAAAAAGGTCCTCAAAAGAGCACAACCAAGAAGGTTCTTGGTGCACCAACTCAGAAAGCTGCTGATACAGTTCTACGGAGGAATTATTGAGAATTATTGAGTTACCGTCTGGTTTGGTTCTGCAACCCAACAGGACAGACACAGACTTCGGAGGATAATTAGGACTGCAGAAAAAACAATTATTACCAACTTGCCTTCCATCGAGGACCTGTCTATTGCACGAGTCAAAAAGAAGGCTGTGAAAATATTTACAGACCCCTCCCATCCCAGACATAAACTGTTTCAACTCCTACCCTCAAAAGATGCTATAGAGCACTGCACACCAGAACAACTAGACACAAGAACAGTTTTTCCCCAAAAGCCATCACCCTGCTAAACAAATAATTCCCTCAACACTGTCCAACTATTTACAAAGTCTGCACTACTATTACTGTTAATCTTGTCATCACTCCTTATCACCCATCCCCTCCCACTTGTGACTGTATGACTGTAACTTTGTCGCTTTTATACTTATGATTTATATTGACTCTTTTCTTTTATGTATACTGAGAGCATTTACACCAAGATAAATTCCTTATGTGTCCAATCACACCTGGCCAATAAAGTAAAGTATTCTATTCTATAAAGTTGTACTCAGTTAAACACTGATTTGCCTCACAAGTGTATACCTATCAGTAACTTATTAGAAACACCTTATCACTAAGTAAACATATTAAACACTTCCTGAAGAAAGGTATTGATTCTTGCTGGGTTTCTCAAGACAGCTAGGTCACCCAGTACTCAATTCTTTTACTTCCATACTACTACACATACATTTAATATCCACTGCCCATTTTTATTTTTGGGTAGAAGGATTTTCAACTGTGGGCTTCTGTCTCAGAGGCTTTAAATGCCACTCATTAAAGCATTACATGCAGTCCTTCTTTAGTGACTGCCTTGTTTAGTGACCTTTCACAATGATGACAGTGATAAAAAAGTAACTTTAGAACCAATATTTGAATTTACTTCACTAACCTATAAAGGAAAGGAAAGCTGAGGTGAGTTCATAAACACAGTTGTGGTTTTTCTTCATGACCAAGATCCTGGCCCCAATTGTTACACTTAAAGCATTACTTTTTACCCTGACACCAGGCATTTATAACAATTTTTAAATTTTTAAATTATTTTTATTATATATGCATATTTGTAAACTGCTTAGTTTTTTTTCCAACAAATATATATGAATGGCAGCATATCAATCTTGATTATAAAGAAATATGTGCTATTAAAAATGCTGTGTTTTACTCATAAATTATAGGAGTGGGCTATTTGCTTACCTGCAAGATTGTGTCCAGAGGTTACCATATTTCTCTGAAATTCTGTTTAAATTTTTCCTGATGTCTTTTTCTTTTATAATGTAGGAAAACTGTATTAACACACAGCCTCTAGAACAGTATCAACCTTGTTAACTTTAAGATCCGTGGACTTCAACTCCCAGAATTCCTTAGCCAATACTGAATTTCCAGTAATTCTGGGAGTTGAAGTCCACGTATACCTGTGGTGGGATTCAAAAATACCGGTTCTGTGGGCATGGCTTGGTGGGCGTGGCTTGGTGGGTGTGGTGGGGAAGGATACTGGAAATACTGTAAAATCTCCATTTCCACCCCACTCCAGGGGAAGGATTTTGCTAAATCCCTATTCCCTCCCCACCCCACTAGCCTGCTTTCCAGCTCCGTTCTCCTGTGCAGGGCAACAAAAGAAGGCCCAGCCAATCAGCTGGGACTCAGGAGGCAGAGAATAGATGGGGGGCGGGGCAAGTCAGAGGTAGGATTTGCCGGTTCTCCAAACGCTTCAAAATTTCCACTACCGGTTCTCCAGAATTGGTCAGAACCTGCTGAATACCACCTCTGACGTATATCTGCTCTAACAGACACTCCCCATGTATATTATTAAAGTATTTATGCTATCCTTCCAACAGCTGTTCAAGATATTGTTTTTCTCCCAAAATTCTAAGAGTTGATATTATGCATTCTATTTTTGTTTTTTAATACACTGTGACTTTTGTATTATGCTAAGTTAAATAGATACAACAGTCATACATGACATCAAATCACACCCCTAATGTCATCCCTTCTTGCCTTCTCCACCCTGGGGCATTCGATTGCAACATCCGTCATGCCCAACCACATGGGAATAGAATCGGAGTTGTTTCTTGCTTGGTTCAAAGCATCTTCTCAGGATCACGTAGAAGTATCTTCCTCTTCTGGAATATAAAGGATTGATCTGGCATGAGGAAAATGACAACCTCTTTTGTTCTTCATTCTCTTGAAGTCCACTTCTGATATAAATATCTATCATATTTTCTACTGCGTCCCTCCAAAGACATTCCAATCTGTTGAGAAGGCAAGGGAAAAAATAAACCTGGGTGTGTAGCATGTGCTTTCTTAGGAGTGTATGTACTTAGCCAGAAAAAAAGAAATTGAGTTTCACAGATACATAGGCTTCCATTCTTAGCTACAGGAATGGATGACAAGGTACCAAAAACATCTGTTGTGGTGTCATTTGGTCATGCCATGAGGTCACAGGAAAGTTCCTAAAGGTCAGAGCTTGTGTTGTGATACTACAATGCACAATTTCTCAGTTGCCTCCTTGCCCACCATGTATCTACCCCTGTATAGAGGCATATGGATAGAGATGGTCATGTTGATACTGTCAAGGTATCTACCACTGATTCAGTAGACTTGGTGAATTTCCTCTTCACTGGATTATTTGCCTGTTCTAGAAATACAAATATTAATTACAGGAAAGGACTGATTTAAATGTTTTAAAAGCAAAAGGCAGGGGAGAAGATGACCAGAAGTGTTGAAATAATAGAGCAAAGGTATCAAACTCACGTCATCATGTTGTCGTCATGTGACGTATCACAACTTTTTTCCCCCTTCGCTAAAATAGGGGTGGATGTGAAAGCACGTGATGCATCTGGCCCGCAGTCTGAGAGCTTGACATCCCTGTAATAGAGTCTGGCCAGTTGGTCACCAGCATCTTTGTCACATTTTGGGGGTTCTGCCCAAAGCGATGCCTTCATTTGAATCACAATGACCAAGTTCACACAACATACCAAACAGCAATTGAGTAAGCCATAATCCATAAGACGAAATGAAGATTTAGAGAGTCCAGTTTGTCTCCCCTGGATGCTACTATGGCTTCAAAGTTTTTTAGGATGAAAAGGAGGAAGAGGCCTTGAGTCATTGGAGTCAGGTTGCATATTAATTTAAAACACGATAGTAATGATGGCGAAGAAGATGGACGATGATGCAATCATTCATCACCCAGTTCTGAAAATGCAATATTCTGCTTTCATGTAAATCTCTCCTTCCTTAAGTAAAACCGACAACTCTCTTGGGAGGTGGAAAGTGCATGCAGAAAGAAAGCAAATAGTTTTATCCTGTGTTAATATCTGAAAAATGATTTTTTGCAAGGTATGTAGTTTAAAAAGGATCAAGATACAGTAAGTCCGATTTGCTATCTTTGAAAGTAAATAAAATTAGCTAAGTTCTCTCAGAAGATGGCAGTGTCTAGCCAAATTTGAGCACCTTTCAGCCAAGTTCAACTCTTGAGAACCATTTTGATCTAGTCGCTAAGATTCCAGGCTAGAATCCAGGAGGTGGTGAGTTCTAGTCCCACCTTAGCAATGAGAGCCAGCCAGTCATTTTCTCGTAGCCCAACCCACATCACAGGGTTATCGTGGGGAAAATCGGAGGAGGAAGAAAGATTAGATGTGCTCACTACCACTATAAAAAGTAATAAAGGTGGGGATTTTAAAAAAGAAACCTTTAAAAAAAACCCAGACTTGCTTCATTCTTGGATAAGAGATCCCCACAAGAACTTGTACATAGGATGGAAATGGCAAATCACATTTTGACACATTCTGTCTTTTGTCTAAGTATATCCATTTAGCATGGCCGCACTACTTTTATCGTTCTCATCTGTTCCATTACCTTCTCTATTGGGATCATTATTAGGATTATTATCCTTTTGGGTAATAGGGACATGGTGGCTCAGTGGCTAAGACGCTGAGCTTGTCGATCGAAAGGTCAGCAGTTCGGCGGTTCGAATCCCTAGTGCTGCGTAACGGAGTGAGCTCCCATTACTTGTCCCAGCTTCTGCCAACCTAGCAGTTCGAAAGCATGTAAAAATGCAAGTAGAAAAATAGGGACCGTCCTTTGGTGGACGGTAACAGTGCCCCATGTGCCTTAAGTGTTTAATCATGCCAGCCACATGACCACAGAGATGTCTTCAGACCATGCTGGCTCTTCGGTTTTGTTAACAGAGATGAGCACCACCCCCTAGAGCCGGGAACGACTAGCACATATGTGTGAGGGGAACCTTTACCTTTATCTTTATCCTTTTGTATTATTATTATTATTACTTTGTTGTTTTGCATGCACATTGAGAGTTTATGCACCGCACCGGGTACAAACTCCTTGTATGTGTAATCTCACTTCGCCAATAAAGTATTTATTTGTCTTTCTCCAGACAAGTCTACAGGGGCATCTCAAAGGATGCTGTTAGGAATGATAGTCACCTAACAGTTGGGTTGGAAATATATAAACCAGGATAGTCATTTAATACTGTATCTTTAAGAGAATGCTGTAAGTGTGATTGGCTGAGGTTCCTCCAATGGTCATAAGATGGAGTCAGAAAACTGGTTTGTTTTCTTTGCATTTCCTGTTTTGTCATATTGCCTGATTGGTGTTCTGCTCGGATTGCTGTGAGTCTTGCAACTGTTAGCAAACTCCGTTTACTGAACTTTGTTTATGATACTTGACTTTGTTTTTGGATTATCCCTGGACTGATACTAAGTGCTTTAACCATGTATGATTTGGACTGTTACTATTCAGTGTCTCTGTGTGCTAGCTGTATGTTATTCATCACCACTCTCACTACGTTTCCCTGAGTGCACTCGTTCATCAACAGATGCCTTTACTTATTTAAGCTGTAATTTAGCAAGATGTTGAAAGCCAGCTAGCATCTTTATTTAACTCAAGCCAGAGAGCTAGCAGTTCCTGTTTATGTCTGTATTTATTGACTTATCAAATTTATATAGCCATCCATCTCACATGATTTTGGGCGGGGAGCAATAAAGTCAACCATCAGAACAGTCTTGAATAACCAGTTAAAACAAACACAAATCTAAAGAAAATCATTAGAGAATACATCAGAATCTCACACCTATGGGTAATCCTCAGGTTATTTCACTCAAGGGAACTCACGTAGGGATTCTACATTTCTATAATACAACCTAACTCACGACGGGCTCTGCTCCTAGGGGATTTGGCCTCCATGCTAGAGAATTGCTCCTTGAGAACAACAGTGGTCTGCTTTTTGAAAGCAACATCTGGTCTGAAGTGTGCTCAAGCTGTGAAAAGGAGCTACTCAGAGGAAGCACATGACTTCCTTCCTGAGAGAGCTATCGAGTGTGTTTTGTGTTAAAACAGCATCTGATAACTGTTATGGCTTTTTATGGTTTGGAACCAGAAAGGCTGCCTCTCTCTCTCCCCCCCTCCTTCTCTCCCTCTCCCCCCTCCCTCCCTCTCCCTCTTCCTCTCCCTCCCTCCCTCTCTCTCTCTCTGATCTGCCTCAGATCTCAGATTTCCCTCCCCTCCAGTGCTCCTGTGTTCACAGCCTAAGCAAAAGGCAATGGGTAAGGAACATTTCTGGTTTGAATGAATGAATGAATTCTTTATCGGCCAAGTATGATTAGAAACACAAGGAATTCGTCTTGGTGCAAATGCTCTCAGTGTGCATAAAAAGAAAGGATACATTTGTCAAGAATCATAAGGTACAACACTTAATGATAGTCCTAGGGTACAAATAGGTGATCAAATCATACTAGGAAACAATCAACATAAATCATAAGGATACATTTATCGGAGCTCTTGGTAACAACCATATTATTTTGGGCACTGCCTGCTTAGGATTGGTTGGTTTCTTGAGCTTTACACAACTGCTTTGCCTGTCAAGGTGACTTTCTCTGCTGCCAAAGAACTGTGGAAATGACAGGCCAGCACATCTGGAGGGAACTAGGTTGCAGATGTTTCCTGCCAGCTGTTTCAAGGCCAGTGGATGCAATTTCTGCATTTAAACAATGTATGTTTTTAAAATAAAAAAAATACATATCAATGCATCCCTGAAAGGAAAGAGACGACTCACCCAACACGCTTGTTATGACAAACATTTATGGGTCTCGCCCACTATATCAACTGTTTTTCAGTATGAAATTGGTCTCCCTCTGTTCGTACCCTATTTGTTCTTCCATAGAGATTCTCAGTCATCCAGGTCATGGTTATCCCAAACATACTTTTTTTCATGAGGCAACTGGACTTTCTGGTTTTTCTTTGAAGACGTTTCACTTCTTGTCCAAGAAGCTTCTTCAGCTCTGACAGGATGGTGGGGAATGGAAGGATTTATATGCCTTGCAGGCAACTGGTCATTTGCATCCTTTTAGAGGGTTGTTGAAGCACTTGGATGTTTATCTGTGTTCATTCCCCACCATCCAGTCAGAGCTGAAGAAGCTTCTTGGATGCGAAGCAAAGCGTCTTCAAAGAAAAATCAAGAAAGTCCAGCAGCTTCCTGAAAAAGTGCCTTTGGGACGTGTTTGTTCTTCTTTTTCTCTTGATTTTTTTTTCATTTTTTCATGACTGGAGAGGCAGGAAGGGTTGGGGGAGTGGGTGGCAGAAATCACAGAAGCTGGAAAAGCATCAGAAATGTGTGAGGGGGAAAAAAATAAAATTTTATTAGAATTTTTTTAGAACTGGAAGAGTTGAAGTCCACCAGTCTTAAAATTGCCAAGGTTGGACACCCCTGTTTTAAATCTAGATTATGAGCCCTTGGAGAAACCGTTGCAACAACCTCTGTTCCCTCTTTTTTGTGTAGCTTGTCACCCTGATCAAGACTTGTCAGATACAATGTGGTATATAAATGTAAGTGCTTTATAAGTTTAAATGTTTCAACTGAAGACGAGGGTTGTGCCCACAAAATAAATATGAGGGATTATTCTGGAGGAGGATGTGCCAGAAAAGGTTTAATTCCAATGATACTATTTCTTCCCCATCTGGTATCTGCCAGGTGCCATTGGAGTAGAATTGTTTAAAAATTCAAAATTCCTTTATATGCATACCAACCTGTGCACTATAACAATAGAAGCCTGGGACAACCTTAATGGAGTTGAACAAGTGTGACTATGTGATCAAAAGCCCAATGCTTTCTAATGTGCATTATGATACACCTACAGGTAAGCCCTCCACTTATGTTCACAACGGAGCCCTGAATTTTGATCGTAAGTCACTGCAGTCTTAAAGCGAATCACTATGGTGGTTGGTTGGGAAATTGGCTGGCTGGGGAATTCTGGGAGATGAAGTCCACACGTCTTAAAGTTGCCAAGTTTGGAGACCTGAGGACAATCAACCAGTGGTACAGCTTGCCTTCAGAAGTCATGGGTGCTCCATCGCAGGAGGTTTTTAAGAAAAGATAGTCACTTAATAACAGATAATAACAGATAATCAGAGTTGGAAGGGACCTTGTAGGTCATCTAGTCCAACCCGCCACCCAAGCAGGAGACCCTACGCCATTTCTGACAAATGGCAGTCCAATCTCTTCTTGAAAGTCTCAAGTGATGATGCTCCCACAACTTCCGAGGGCAACTTCTGTTCCATTGGTTGATTGTTTTCACTGTCAGAAAGTTTCTCCTTATTTCCAGGTTAAATCTCACCTTGTTCAGTTTCCATCCATTATTCCTTGTCTGGCCTACAGGCGCTTTAGAAAATAGCTTGACCCCTTCCACCCTGTGGCAGCTCCCCTCAAATATTGGAAGACCACTATCATGTCTCCCCTGGGCTTTCTCTTCACTAGACTAGCCAGGCCCAGTTCCTGCAACCGTTTTTCATGTGTTTTAGTTTCCAGTCCCCTAATCATCCTGGTTGCTGTTCTGGCTTCTTGTCTGAAATGGTATAGGGCAGTGGTGGCTAACCATCTTGGGCTTCTGTGCAGAAAATTGCGCTCGTGCTTGTGTGTGTGTGCTCGTGTGTGTGTGCTCGTGTGCCAGCAGCCAGAAGGCAATGCACGTGCCCCCCCACCCCTACGCATGCACACGTGATCCCCTCTCCATCCCCTTACCTGCACTGCGCATGCGCGTGCTTCCCAGCTGATTTTTGACCTGTTTGAGGCCTTTTTCGGCCCAGAGGCTCAAGGAAAGCCTCTGCAGTCTTTGGAGGCTGAAAAATGGGTCCATTTTGTCACTTCTGGTATTTCCGGAAATACAGGAAGTGACAAAACAGGCCTGTTTTTCGGCTTCCAAAGGCTGCAGAGGCTTCCCTCAAGCCTCTGGGAGGCCAAAAAAAGGCCTCAAATGGCCCGAAAATCAGCTGGGAGATGTGTGCATCCGCAGTGCAGGTAAGTTTGGCTGGGGCTCGTGTGCCTACACAAATGGCTCTGCGTGCCACCTGTGGCACACATGCCTTAGGTTCGCCATCATGGGTATAAGGTCTTCCTGCTTGAGGAAAGGATTGGACTAGAAGACCTCCAAGGTCCCTTCCAGCTCTGTTCTGATGATTCTGAAAGATAAGAGCAGTGGTGGGATTCAATTTTTTTTACTACCGGTTCTGTGGGCGTGGCTTGGTGAGATGGCAGGGGAAGGATATACTGTAAAATCCCCATTCCCTCCCCACCCCACTAACCTGCTTTCCAGCTCGGTTCTCCTGTGCAGGGCAACCAAAGAAGACCCAACCAATCAGCTGGGACTTGGGAGGCAGAGAAGAGATGGGGGCGGGGCCAGTCAGAGGTGGGATTTGCCGGTTCACCGAACTACTCAAAATGTCTGCTACTGGTTCTCCAGACCTGGTCAGAACCTGATCAATACCACCTCTGGATAAGGGGATGAAGGTTTTGTGTGAGACAGGAAACTGAATAGCATCCTGTTAAACAAAGCAACCCACTCAGGTTTCAAAGAGGGAAACAAGACCCTCAAAACTGATACTTTAGTGCCACCTTCTAATCCCCTTTGCCTTAGTTGATAACTTCAGAACCATAGAGTAAACAGAGGAATATGGGCAGAAACCTCTCAGCTCTTCAGAAAACCTGGCCTGGATTCTTTTCTTCCTGCTCTTTGCTTTTTGCGTCCTGATGGTTCCTAGTCTGATCATACTGGGGTACTGTAGCAATATAGGTGGTCCTCAATTTACGACCAAAATTGAGCCCAATGTTTTTCTGTTGCTAACTGAGACATTTGTTAAGTGAGTTTTGTCCCATTGTATGACTTTTCTTGCCACCATTGTTAAGTGAATCACTGCAGTTGATAACTTAGTAACCCGGTTGTTAAAGGAACCTGGCTTCCCCATTGACTTTGCTTGTGAGAAGGTCGTGAAAGGGGATCGCCTGATCTTGGGACACTGCAACGGTCATAAATATGAACCGGTTGCCCGCCGTATGAATTTTTGATCGCTGGTCATGAGGTTGCTGCAAAGGTCGCAAGTGTGAACAATGCCACGTTTTTCAGTGCCATTGTAACTTTGAACGGTCACTAAACAAACTGTTGTAAGTCAAGGACTACCTGTAGTAGGATGTTTTGAGAGAGCCGCAGCATGTTCAATTCAGTGGTGGGATTCAAATTTTTTTACTCCTGGTTCTGTGGGCGTGGCTTGGTGGGCATGTCAGGGGAAGGTTACTGCAAAATCCCCATTTTTCATCCCACTCCTGGGGGAAGGTTACTGCAAAATCTCCATTCCTTCTCCACCCCACTAGCCTGCTTTCCAGCTCTGTTCTCCTATGCAGGGCAACCAAAGAAGACCCAGCCAATCAGCTGGGATTCAGGAGGCAGAGAATAGATGTGGGCAGGGCCAGTCAGAGGTGGGATTTGCCGGTTCTCCGAACTACTCAAAATTTCCGCTACCGGTTCTCCAGAACTGGTCGGAATTTACTGAATACCACCCCTGGTTCAATATCTCTGGGCAGAATTTCTTGGCTATTTTTTTTTTTTTTTGGTTCTTCCACTCCACATTTTTCCTTTCGCCTGCAAAAGCCTAGAAATGAATGATGGGTTGTTTTAAAAAGGTTGTGGCCGCTGGCCATCAGTCTTCCATTCATCTGGTGGCATAGAGAGGTTTTTGTGTTCCCAATACAGGCCTGGCTCTTTCTGAGAGTTTCTGACTTTGATCAGGGCATCCAGAAGGTTGTTTAGCTGAGAACAGAATCTGCTGGAGTTTAGACCCTTTTTCTATGTGACTTTCTATAATGCACCTTTGTATTAGATGTATTAAATATGACCATAATTAATTGACCCTACCTCCCCCCTGTGCTTCCTGCTCCCCTTCCACTCATGTTTTTAATTTTACATTATTATACTTCCATTTTTTATTGTTTTATTCTTTACTATTATTTTACATTTTCTTTTCTTTTTTTGAAAATTTTATTTGGGTTTTCACAAAAACAAAATACAAATAAAACTTCTTTTTTTTTAAAATAGCATGGTCCCAGGTTATCACTTCTTCATACAAAACTCAATTTCATGCTCATTTTTATATTCTATTCCATATCTTATTACTGTTTTATATTTTCTACATAGTTTTTCCCCTCTCTTAATTTTCTCAACTTTATTTTAATTATCTCATCTCAATTCAAATAATTATATTTATACTTTTGTCTGTCCTGTTTCCATTTCATATTATCTTTTCTCATTAAACAAATTTTTCCCTGTAGTTACCAATTGGAGTATGACACCTTTATATATTTTAATTTTATCCATTCAAACTCTTATTTAAGCTTCAATTTATACCTTTAAAATTATAGCATTCAATATTATACATAACTTCCAATTGAATACTGCTTGGTACATTCTTAAAATACACACTATATTCTTAAAAAGAATATATATGTATATGTATATGTATGTATGTGTGTGTGTGGTTATGAACACATCTGACTACCAAACCAAGTTAACCAACCTACTCCAAGACCCCACATACAAACCCCTAAAGACAGACCCCACCACCTACCTAGAAAAAACTACCAGATCCAAAATAAAAGCCTCCCCCATCAGTGAAGAAATCCAGCAAAGAATCATACCCAGAGAGAAATCATCCAGATGCCCTAAGCTTTATGGTCTCCCCAAGATACATAAAGAAGGAATCCCACTCAGACCAATAGTCAGCTCCATAGGCTCACCTCTACAAAACC